TTTTTTTTGATGGGACCTCCAACGCCCCCATCGTGTAACGTGATGTGCGCGCAGCCGCAAGCGCGCCCCCGGTTGTTCGATTTCCCGTCGACCTGCGAGGTCGTTCCACATTCAACGGGAAATCAACGGAATCGAATCGTTCAACTGCCGTTCAATGGGTTCAACGGGGATATAACGGGGGGGGGTCAGTGGCGAACATCTTTTTTTTTGTCCCCACCGACGGGGCCGCAGACTCGACGGCTGTTGGGCGAAGTCCGTTGAACGTTATTCAACGGGAAGGGCCCGTTGAATTGTTCAACAGAGTTTCAACGGGGGCCCCGAGGCTATTCAACGGGTTCAAGTTCAACGGCGTTCAAAAAATCCCGTTGCCCGTTGACAGGACACACAGGCGCAAACTGAGGACATTTCCCTTCCCCCACAGCCAATGCACGGATACGATGAAGATTGGACCTTAAGCCCTTAGTTGGCCCTGGAATCCTCGAACACCATCGCTTGGCTGCTTCAACCGTAAGGATGTGAGGGATAAACTATTATTAACTATCCTCGCATTGTTTCGAAGGAATCGACCGTCGAAAGTTTGAGACGTCCAAAGGGAAAGAATGCCATTCCCATAAAGAACAACATTTTTTACCTTTCTGGCAACATATCTTTGTCCATTTTCTTTAATGATGCCACAATTTAGCACCACAATACTTACATGGATCTCGACCACCAATGTCGAACGGTTCAACAGTGCTAGCTTCCCAATAATCGATACGGTGTTCTCAACCGCAGCATACGTTGTTGCCATGGGTGCCGATGGGAGTGCATTAAGATCAGAAGCTGGAACATCATGAGAATAATTTATTTCTTCCTCGCGACTATTTGACTCACTATCTTCGCGATTGTTCATTGAATTTCGATTTCTCACGGATGGATTCTGCGATTGTCTCCCTCGAGGTGACGAACTCCGGGAGTTTCTCGGCCGAGAAGATTGACTACGTGATTGTCTCACAGCAGAAGATGCATCCTCGATTGCCAGAGGAGCTCGCTCGAATCTCTCAAAGGATATTGACAGCGAACAAACTTCGCTTCACACCCCGCACAAAATCTTTATGAACACGCACATCTTCTTTCCTCCTATGATTCTTAACCGCAACTCTCAATGCATGCATGTGTTCAACATGAAAGTTTTGTCGTTTTCTCTAGTTCTTCCTTCGCTTTGAAATTATACGTGATGTAGAACATGGTTCATTCACATTCATTCTATAGAGTTGTCTCGTTCCTCCACCAACCTCTGCAGTATTTTCAACAACTACTGCACTTCCATCATAACCCGATGACATACGGTGAGGCATCGACGACAACGACCCAAGTTGCCAAGGCCTTTGTGAGAGGTTGGCCCCACCGATTGCGGGAGCTCTGCCGGGACTCAGGAGAAGTCCTGGAGGCAGGGAACTGTGTGGTAATTCCCTGACCCTTTCTATAAACCCAGCTATAACCCCTATCTGTACGTCTTTCTATGTTTTGACTAAGTATATTGCGTGGACCCCATATTGAGTTTTTGGTTTGGTTTTCAGGATCTAATTGAGACTAAGTAAAGGAATGAGTGTGCAGCCTCAGTTTCAGTTTTGTTGATTGCTTGACAGCAGATTGTTGAAAGGAACCGCATCTAGGAAAGGCAGGATAGAGGGCTGACCTGCATGAGACTTGGTTGGGTCGTTAAGGCTGGGAGGTCCCCATAAGTTTAGGGAAGCCCAACGCTTTGTTTACTTTGGTTTTGCATGGAGCATCAGGTCGCTCTATAAGTTTAGGTAGCCTGAATGCTTTGGAGGTTGGGAAGTCCCCATAAGTTTGGGGAGACCCGGTGCTGTGAATTGCGTAGAGGGTCAGAACGTTCTATAAGTTTAGGTGTCCTGACTGCTCTGACTTGCGAGGGTTTGATTGCGTTTAATTTTCACGAGCTCAGATGCTCTATAAGTTTAGGTACCCTGAGTTGCCTTGTTTCTTGGGTTTTCTTAAGTTTCTTTGTTTCGGAACGAGGGGGCTGAGTTGTTCTATAAGTTTAGGTGGCTCAGTCTCTTCCTGCTTTACTTTAAGGAAATGAACTTGGCAAAGAGCAAACTCTTCAGTAAGTTCAGGGGGTTTGACTCAATGCCACACACATGATGATTCAAAGAGAAATGAATCTGGCGGAGAGTTAGATCCTTCTATAAGTTCAAGGGGTCTGGCTCAAAGCCTCGCACATGTTGGAACCCAAGGTTATAATTTGGTTGTACGTTATTATTATCTTATTAAAAACAGGCTAGTCACGAGTTCCATAAGATTGGATGGTCTGACTATAGCTTATTGTAAATTGAAGAGAGTATAATTAAGAATATAATTGAAGGTAACTTGGGTCAACTGAGCTTGTTTCTAAGATGAATGGCTCAGTCTTACGCCCACCCTGAAGATTAAGTTAAGAGAGATATATATAACTTGGCTATTTAAACAGTTAAGGGCGACTAGAGTGATCTAGTCATATGCCCAAGGAAGAGAAAAGTAGTTGTGCCCTCTGTTTGTGTATACTTGGCTAAGTCAGAGCACTCTATAGGTTTAGGTATTATGACTTTAGACCTGGCTAAGTTGGGCGTGCTCTGTAAGTTCAGGTGGCCTGACCTATGCCTTATCTAAGCTGGGTATAAAGGGCTAAAGCATTGAGAGATCATGAACTATTGTTTGTTCAGGTATACCTTGGGACGGCGAGAGTACTTACCTTTGTGGTTTGACCTGCATGTGGCTGAGTAAGGCTACTACTTCTTCTGAGTTTCAGTTTGATAGGTGCTTTAGAGGCTCGCCATGTGCTAAAGCGATAGGAGTTAGTTTCAATTTTTGCATTTTCTGAAGCTAAGTTTATTTTACTTAGGTCGATTCTCGCATTTTCTGGGATCTTTTGTTATACTTGGCTTTGTATAAATTTTGGTAAGCTACTTTCTCTACGGAAAGCGCTGCCGAAATTTCTACAAATGCACGGAGTTAGTTAATTCTTGGCTTTTCAAAGTTCAACTTGTCTAAAGTTCATAATGGCTTAGTAAAAATCTGGAAAGTCTCATTTTCTAAAGGGAGTGCTGCCCAAATTTTTGCTAATTCACGGAGTTAGACAGAATTTGACTTTGGAAACTCAAAGACTATTTCTGTTTTCATATTCGGACTGATATAAATTCTGAAAAAACATTTTTCCTACGGGAAGCGCTGCCGAAAAAATCTTGATTTAGAGGAGTTAGATTATATTTTGACAGGTGGCGATTCTGGCAATCCACCCTAAATAGGGGAGATTCTATCATTAGTCTACCTTTGCTTTGGACACTTGTTTAGAGGTAGGCTTAAACTTAGTTGGCAGATAACTTTGAGTGAGAATGGGCTATGGAGGTTTATCCCCCATATGCTGATGATTTAGCTTGGGCATTGACCTGTCTTATGGTATAGGCATTTCTTAGACATTCGATTCAGGGTTTGGACTAGTTTCAGCTTGATCCTACGAGGATCATCTTCTGTTATCACTGATAACAGGTCGGTTGTCGATTCGTCGGTTTACGATTCAATTCCAATTCACTCCTGCCACTCAACCTAAAGGCTTTAGCCCTGTGGTTTATTTGTTTTGTTTTGTTTTTACCAGGCCTTTATTGAATGGTCATTTAACGAAGATACTGAGCATTTTTATTGCGGGGAGGTTGCGCTGAGGTTGACGTTTGCATGGCTAAAGCAAGGGGTATGAGTACAGAGAATGATTGAAGTTGACCCCGTATAGTGCGTTGACTTTTGATTGAATCTTTGATGTGATTGCAGGTGTGTTTGTGGTTCGGACTCTGGATGGGATTGCCTGCGATTACATACATATATGGTTGAGAGGAGCCTCACTGTGACTTTGAGAAGTGATCGTCCTATATGATTAACCCTCATACATTTATAAGTGCCCTGAGTGTTTGAGAGACCTATTGTAATTGTGCATAAAGGGTAACCAGATTATGTCTTGAGAGAAAAGGGGGATTCCCCTTTTTCCCTTGCTTTTTAGAGTTGTATGGTTGGACGTTGTAGTCCATGACAGCCGTCAAAGTCAAACCCCTTGACTTCTACCCAAGCCTGAAGTGAGGCTCATCTCCAGGGCAGTAAGAAACGACTGCCACCACAGGTATGGACCTGTGTACCACTCGCTCTGCACAGGGTGCAGAAGAGGGTGTATGGTCTTCAACCGCGCATGGCGGTTGTCCAGCGTCGAGAAATTAACCCTCAAGGCGCGTGTCAGCCGACACTTGAGTGTCGAGCACGACCTTCGAAGTTAACGAGGGCCTCACGAGTATGGGTACTACATAGTACACCATCATTGCGACCGCTTGCGTACGTTTGCATTGCGAGTCGATATGAGTTAGCCCTACGTCCGCGCAGTTTTATATTAAGTCTCGCGCGTGACGCCTATCCGACTTCCGCGTCGGAAAGTTATGGGATGGCTACTAAGGGACTAGGAGTGTTGTCACGTGGTTCGATGTGCGTGGGTGTGTGTGTGTTTATTTTTGTGTTCGTAAAGTGGTGTGCGCGTGGTGTGAGGGATGCGTCCTAGTCGACCGACGACGAGTTGCGCTTGGGACCTCAGCCCCCCAAGATGTCGGTTCGCGTGCGGGTCCGATAGGCGTATTACCGCGCGTGCCCCCTATGCTACAGCTAACGAGAAACGCCCTCGGCTGGTCCACCTCTGCGATTGCAACTGATCAGCTTTCGTACTGTGGACTGTAGCTCGGCGGGGATATGCCCACTGAAGGGAGGCGACAACTCCCGTAAGGTGGAGGTAAGTTGTGCCTCGCGTAGGCCCTATCCTGTTGTAGGGGCTCGCGAGAGGTATGGCTGGCGCACTCGATTGGAGCGGCCTAAGGAAGCTCCATTTGCGTGTTCATGACGAGATTGGTCCAACTCCTGCGTGACGCGGCCGAGAGGGTCCCGCGCTGCCACGTGCGGTGCCGGACCGATGCGCTCGACAACGTAGCCCCCTC